GCCTAAAACTAAAAAATAAATTAAAAAAAAAAGAAAATTAGTGGCTCAGTGGTAGAGTGCTCACCTGGCATGCATAGGGCACTGGGTTTGATCCTCAGCACCACATAAAAAAATAAAATAAAGATATTGTGTCCACCTAAAACTAAAAAATAAATTAAAAAAAAAAGAAAATTAATTTTTAAAAAAAGAATCTTATTTAAAAGGCAGGACCCAGCTTTCTGAGGGACTTGGATGTCCCTTCTACTCAGGAATAGTAATTCTGCACTCCTCTATCTTTTTTAGACAAAGAAATACAACAAAGTTTCAATCTGTTTTTGGACTGAACTGCCTCGTTCACCCTGGGTCATAGTTACTAAGCAGAAAATGGAGGTCTGAGATGTTGGGCTGGCCCCGGTGACTTCCCGGCCTCACGCCCCTGGGTGCTGGCTGGGTACACTCGTCCTCTTCTAACAAACGGCAGACATAGAAGTGATGGGTGTCCCTTCTAAGTTCCAGCTACAAAAGTGCCCTGGCTTCTGTCCTGAGTGCTCGCTCTGGGGGGACTGGTGGCCATGTGCATGCCAAGGCCCACGTGGCAGGGTCAGCGTGACCTGCAATGAGATTGGAGGTGGGCCACAGACACTGGAGGCCCTGGGTGAGACCACCTCCCCGCCACAGCTTGACTGTGGCCTTCTGAGTGACCTTGCTGAGCTGTGCCTGGACTCCTGATCACATGAGCAAAGGTCATTGTCCCGGTGCCTGGGGACGTAAGCTGCTCAGTTTGAGGCTCCTCCTGCTGCCGTGGATAACTCAGGGATATGGCTTCTTTATCCTTAAAGATGTCCCAGGTGGCCCTGGAGTGAACCTCCAAGCCACACGTCCCCAGCAGGTGAATACTGAAGACAGCACAGCTACATCTGTGCAGTGCAGGGCTGGCACTGCCCAGAGGCGGACAGTCTGGACCATGACGTGTGCATGTTTTACCAAAGGGAAAGGCAAGCTAACGGGGCTGAAGCCTCAAGCCTGTGCCTGACACGCCAGTTTTTCCGGCCTGTGGTGGCAAGCACCCTCAGCTGTCCCCAGGGAAGAAAGAGCCAGTGGGCATCTGAGATCCCATGACAAGGCTTTGGGGACCTGGCCAGAACAGGAGCCGAGTCTCTGGGTCAGGCTGGTGGACTCACCCCTGGCCATACCAGTGGGGCCTTAGGATGCTTTCAAAGGTTGGAGGCTTCTGTTCAGGAGAATTCCATGACTCTCCCCTCAAAACGAACCTGATAACCCCTTGTTCAAGAGTTTTGCAGATTTCACTTTAGTTGGATTCAAACTCGTTTCCTCATGGACCGTTCCACAGGTGAGGAGGAAAAATGCCTGCTCAGGAAAATGCTTCCTTCCTTTCTTAAAAAGCAACCTGCTCAGCTCCAGAGGGGTCTCCTCAGCTCAGACTCCAGAGGGGTCTCCTCAGCTCAGAGTCCAGAGGCATCTCCAGAACAATCACCACAGCTCAGCTCCAGAGGGGTCTCTATAGCTCAGGCTCCAGAGAGATCTCCAGAGTTCAGACTCCAGAGGGGTCTCCTCAGCTCAGACTCCAGAGGGGTCTCCTCAGCTCAGACTCCAGAAGGATCTCCACAGCTCAGACTCCAGAGGGGTCTCCACAGCTCACGCTCCAGAGGCGTCTCTCAGCTCCGACTCCAGAGCCATCTCCAGAATGATCTCTACAGCTTGGCTCCAGAGAGAATTCCATTACTCAGGAGAATTCTTCTCAGCTCAGATTCCAGAGGCATCTCTGTAGCTCAGGCTCCAGATGGGTCTCTCTGCTGTGACTCCAGAGGCATCTCCAGAACGATCTCCATAGCTCGGCTCCAGAGGGGTCTCCTCAGCTCAGGCTCCAGAGGCATCTCCAGAACGATCTCCACAGCTCAGCTCCAGAGGGGTCTCCTCAGCTCAAGTTATCAACAAGAGAGTGATGAATGCAGGGTTCGTCTTAAAGGTCATTGAAGACAAAAGATTCTGCAGACCAATACAAGGTGCTGTCCTGTCCAAGGTAGTAGGATTCTGGGAAGAGGCCAGGCCTCTCCTCCAGCACTGTGGGTTGTACTGGGCCACAGCTCCTCTGCCAGGCGGCAAAGCTGCTTTTTACAACATTTGGAGGGGGGCTCCTGGCACCTTCCACCAGCTCCCCATAAGGTCCCTGGTCCCCATCCTCTCGGCCTCCGCATCCTCTCTGCCTCCTCCCTCCCCAGGGCCTACAATCCACCAACACTTGGCCCCACTGGGGCTACAGCACATGCTGTTTCTCTGGTGTTTAGAGAAAATGGGATTCACTTCCTCTCGCTCTCCTCCCGATTCTAAAGAAACTCAGGGGCTCTTTAGTGAGAGTCCATGAAACCTGAGGCCCCATTGAGCATCCAGTGAGGTCAGAGGGTGCCTGGGCCAGGCTTTGAGACCCGCCCCCTCACCTCCAGGTGTGTCTCCCAAAACCCTCTACCTCCTAAAACCAGTCACCTACATCTGGCGACCCTCCACCCCTTTTAGCCACATTAGCTGTGTGGTTTAATAGTGTTCGAGGAAATCCTCTAGATCTGGTATTCGCTTAAGGAATGGAGAGTGAAGATGAGGAGCGCCCTGGGCACAGGCGGGTGGGCGGGTCCTGCACGCAGGAGGGAGAGCCTCCAGATCTTAGAAAAGTACTAACAAGGGTTGAGAGGGAGTCTGCTCTGGGAGTCTGCCTCCCTCTCTGGGCCAGCGTCCCTTCCCAGCCCAGGCCTCCTCTGCCCCGGGTCTCCTTCCCCTCTCCTGGGCCCCTCTCTACCTCTGGGTCCCCTTCCCCTTTCCTGGGTCTCTCTCCTGCATCCTTCTCTGCCCCTGGGTCCCCTCCCCTCTCCTGGGTCCCCTCCCCCCCTCCTGGGTCCCTCTCTGCCCCTGGGTCCTCTCCCCTCCCCTGGATCCCTCCCTGGCCTGGGTCCCTCTCCATGGGCCACCTCCCCACGTGCACCGTGGGGTTCAGCTTGTACTCACTGTGCTGGCCGGGGTCCCTAAGCCATCTGTTTCCTGAGCTCTTAGCTCCCATGGCTCCATGTCCCACCTGGTGAGGGCTTGATGACTCCCAGCCCTCGGACTGAGCCCTGGTGCACCCCAAGCTAGGGTGGTGCTAGGAGCCTGGTCCCCCGCTGCTGGCCTGTTGTTTAACATCTCTGAAGCAGGTCTCAGGCCCTGGAGCCCGGCTTTCCCTCCACACCTCCCGGGGAGGAGCAGGACTCTGGACGTGGCTCACTAGCTGCTGCCCTTGGGCAAGGTCGGGGCTCTGGGAGTTCACTTATGGAGTGGGACTGATGATGTACAAGGTTGGCCACGGTACAGATGAAGGGCGTGGAGCACAGAAGGAGCCCAGGAGGCCTTCTACACTGGCCCAGGCGCTCCTGCCATAGACTGCAGGCGTCTTTACGGTTCTGAACAGGAATGCCACCAAAGCCACTGGAAAGCCTGGGGTACCACTGCCTAGACGACCTGTGAGCACTGGTCCCAGGGGGTGTTGGCACATCAGGAAGCAGGTTCTGACGGCCATCCCCAGGTGCCCCCTCCCAAACACAGGAAGGGTCCCATCTCCAACCAGAGGTCTCCACGACAAACCAGGTCAGGGACTATGACATGTTCAGGGTGCTCTTGTCTCAGAGAGAATGCAAATCACAGAAAGGTAACCAAGACCCCAGGCCAGGAGCTCTGAGGCAGAAGAGGGTGGGGCAGTGGCTCCCCTTAGCCATGATCCGCTTTCTACAGTCTCAGTTACCCAGAGTCAACGGTGGAAAATTCCAGAAATAAACAAGTCAGCAATTTCAAATAACTTTTGTTATAGTAGATTACTATAATTATTCAGTTTCATTAGTAGCAGTTGTTAATTTCTTACTGTGAATAATTTATAAATTAAAATCTATCCTAGGTTTGTATTTATAAGAAAAACAGTACACACTGGTGTTCAGAAGAATCTGAACAATGTAGGGCAACCTCAAAATGGCTTGGAACTTATCCCCCAAAGATAAAGGGGGAAACTGTGCTAAAATTGTTGCTTTTGTTTTGAAAACACACACTCTCTCTCACACACACACACCAAAGAAGCACTGGAGAGTAAATAGGAAAATGAAAGAGAAGCTATCAGCAGGAGGCTCCCTCACCTTCCCAGATAACCCAGCCCCACAAACTCCTCCAGTCCCCTGTCCTCCATGGTCTCCATGGGCTGCCAAGGACAAGGGTGACATGCACAGTCCCCGCTGTCTGCAAGGCATAGTTCCCAGGTACAAAGCCCTGGCAGAGCCCTTCCCGCCCAGGCCCACGGGCGGATGCTGCGCTTCCCACTGCGACTCTCCAGTGCCGCTGCAGATTCAGGGATGTGACATGACTGGCTTAACCGTGACACACCTTCGTGCATTAAAGATGACAAAGGTCAATGGGGGAGACCCAGTTCCAAAGGTATGTGAGCTGCATGCAAGAAGAAATCAAACCAAATCGAGAAAAACAGAATTTAATAATATTTTGGAATTGTGCCATTCAAACTTGCTCACGTGGGAGCTCAATGTTCTTAAGCCTGCGATGATGGAAATTCAGAGATGAATTCCCTGAGCCACACAGGCAGGCGGGCAGGGTAATTAAGAATGTGGATGGGAGTCAAACTGGACAAGTTCAAATCCAAATCCAATTACAGCTGTGTGACCCTGAGCAGAATATTTAAGCTCTCTCTAACTTAAAAAGGGAGGTGGCATATGTCACCCACTGGCATATCACCTGCTCTGCTTCTATAAAGATGGAATGAACTATTAAAATGCCTGGCCTACAGCAATGATGAGGATCCCCCCTTATTGCTCATAAGATGTTAATCCTGATCCCAGCAAGAATGAAAAGCAGCTTTTAAAGAACATTTCATCCGGCAAAAACTCTAGGGATTCTTCGGCAAACTCTGGAGGAGAGCAAAGAGGCAGGTTATGCTAGTGTCGTTAGAGAAACGCACGAGCAGGCAGCCGCGCCCCGCTTACCCCTAAGATCCCGAAGCGCTCCGCCAGGCTCCAGCCGCAGAGGAAGTCGATTTCAAATTTGTGGTTGAGGACGACGATGGCGTTCTCCGTGCCATACTTGGAGAAGGCCCTCGGGTCCGTGTAGATGGTGCACTCTGTGCCCGACCACCACTCCAGCAACATCACCAGCTCTGGAACAAACCACAGTGACAGGACACTTATTTGCCATCCTGTGATCTCTGGTGGGTCCCTCTGGCCAGGGCTCTGCCCTCCCCACTGGGAAAGGAAGAACTTTTAGGCGTCAAGTCCGGGATCCTCTCAGCCTAGACCCAGTCCTTAGGAGGGTTTAGAAGGAAGCATGAGGGACTTCCAGCTCCAGGGAACAGGGGAAGCTCTGGGACAGCCAGCGACGTCCGCCCTTACGCGCCTTGGGAGAAAATAAAATAAATGACACAGACTGAAGCCACCCCACATCCAAGTCCTTGCGTCAACAGCAGAGGCAGCGTGAGCTGATGCAGGAATTCTAAACCTCCTGGAAAATGACCAAGGGGCACAGTCACAGACTCCACCAAAGGACAACAAGTGACCATGTTTCCTCTGCTATGGGCGATGTCTGTGGGCACCCTGGATAAGAGGGGGCTGTGGGGCACAGAAGCAGCTCCAGCCCCAGAAGGCAGGGGTGGATCCCAGTGGTCATCCTCGAGGCTTTGATAAAGCTGATAATGTGCCTTTAAAGGAGACTGTGAAAATGTAAGACTTCCTCTTTCAGGTGATAATGACCAGTTTGAGCATACTCTTTAACATGCCTCTAAGTGATGAGTTTCCAACCTGGTAGCCTAAGGAAAACCCCTGGGGTGCATGCTGTCCAGAAACACTTCAATGTGCATGGTCGCACAGTCCCCCCAATTTTTTTTTATCACCCATTTGGCAGAGGGCTCCCTCACCACCCCACCCCCCATGCACACAAAGGCAAGTGGTGGGACCTGGGCCGCCCTTTCTCCTGGAGGCTGGCCTCTCCAAGGTCTCACAGTCTAGAGGCCAAGGAGGGGCACGGTGGGACTGTGGTCAAGCTAACTTCACAGTGCCACAGTGTCCTAGTCCCAGGAGTGGCAGTCACATGGCGGGCACACAGAGCACTACAGACAGGAAGCTCCCACAAGCCACCATGATCTGTACCCTTAAAAACAAGAGAGAATGCTCACTTCCTTTTGTAGAAGCGGATGGTAGGCGGCTGCCTCTTTCCAGGAGTAGAGAGCATGCCCTGCTCTGTCCAGCTGTCCCACCGGGCAGCGGCCTCAGTGGATCCCCACGGGGCAAGCCAGGGAATAGTCACGTATAGACAGGCAGGGCCGCCCAGCAAGGGTCACACTGTCCCCATGGGGGGGGGGTGGGAAGAGGCTCTGGTGCTGCAGGGATTTCTGAGAAACAGGAGGGGCAGGACCCATCCGCTCCTGACCAGCACATGGGAGTCAGTGGACAGAGCAGAGACGCTGGTGCCACTCACACCTTATGAGTGCCATGGGCTCACAGGACATTCCTCCTGCCTAAGCCAACATGCATGCCCACCAACTGCATGTTCCCCAGGACCCTCCCAGCCCAGCACTTATGATTACAGCACGAGATCATCTCCCCCATCACGACCACAGGCTCCACAAGGCAAGAGCTTTATTGTTGGGTTCTTCCTGACCCGAGTGGAACCCTAGTGCCCACCAAGCACCTGGCACGTTGGTATTTTCTACCAGCACCATGTGGTTGCCTAGCATGTGCGAGCACCATGAGAGGGCTGGAGGACCCAGGTCCCCAGATCAGACTCTGCTGTCCTGGGGATCCCTGCCTAGGGACGACAGCTCAGGAACCACAAAGCAGCGTGGCAAGGGGACAGAGACGCGCCTGTCAGGGATGGCTGCAGGCTGTCGGTTCAGGGAGTTGGCTCCAAACCTGCAGTGCCACTCACCAGGCATGAGGCTTTGGCTTGTGTCTCAGTATCCCCCCGGTCTGTAAAACAGGGGTGGCAAATGCTTTTAGAGACTCTGGGTATGAAACGTGACCCTGTGTGCAGGGTGCCCGGAGCATAGTAGGTGATCAATAAACAGCCAACTTTTCAAGCCGTCCTGTGCATGGTCATTTTATCATCCACAGGTTGTGGGACCACTGAAGGGCGGGGGTGGGATGGAGACAGACGAGACCCAGAGAGAGTACTGCAGAGGCTGTCGGACCAGATGCCCTGCTGTAAAGACAACAAGAAGCCCCCAGAATATTCTGAAACAGACACACACCCAATTTCTATTTTGAAGCATCAATCTGACGGAACGGGGGACAGACTGGAATTGGGAAGACAGAAGCAGGCAAGCCAGTGAGGAGGAGATCACGGTGACCCAGCGAGGGGCCAGTGGCCGGTGGGCTCCAGTGAAAGACCCAGTTCCTCACTCACCTGCACAGGCCACCGACTCTGCAACAGGACCCCAGGTCTCACTGCTGGGAGAGTTTCATTTCCCTCCTTCTTTTACCAAGAGGTTTCCATTGTTTTTTCTCTTCACAAGAAATATAATTATATGGTCCCGTCGTAAAAGACTCCAGACAGCCCCGCTGATGAACCTCCTCTTGGAGCTTGGAATGGGCCACTAGGCGAGCCAGAGCCTCAGCTCCCCGTTCCCTTTCTTGTCTGTTTCTGGGTTGGGAGCCCCACAGGGCTGCCCGGGAAGTTCAGGTGGCAGGGGGAAGGGCGCGGCTCTGCTCTGTAGGCACGTGCCGCTCTGATCTGCTCTGCACCGCTCCTCCTTCCCCTGGTTCATCACCAGCTTCTCTGATCCCCTGGCCAGCGCTTGGGCAAGATGCCCATCCCGTCAACACAGGCAGATCCCCATCAACGCCTCAACACCAGATCCCGGTCAACGCCAGATCCTGGTCAATGCCAGATCCCCGTCAACACGAGATCCCCACCGATGCCAGATCTCCATCAACTCCAGATCCCCGTCAACGCCAGACCCCCATCAATACCAGATCCCCGTCAACATGAGATCCCCACCGATGCCAGATCTCCATCAGCTCCAGATCCTTGACAATGCCAGATGCAATAAGAACCAATTCAAGATCCAGCCCTCTCATGGGGCTCCCACCTGTAACTTTCCTCATTTTGTGTCCCTTGCCCCTCCTGCCTGCCCTGTGAATGCCCGGCTCCAGCCTCAGGTGCAGAATGAAGCCCTATGGAGACCCCCTGACCACCCCAGAGTTGATCAGGCAGTTCCTGTGACCAGCCCCTGAAGGCACCTGGCTGTGTTGGCTGTCCCAGTGGCTGAACTGACTGAGAACCTTCAGTGACCGGCCCATCCCACCCCTTCTCCAGGACTAACCATCATGAACAGGAGGGACAGTTGGGAAGGAAGGCTTCTAGCCTTTCCCTGGGCATCAACACACCTACACACACACACACACATACACCTCCTCCACAAATGAACCCAGGGGTGCTTAACTACTGAATTACATCCCCAGCCCTTTTATTTTTTATTTTCAGACAGGGTCTTGCTAAGTTGCTCAGGCCCTCACTAAGTTACTGAGACTGGTCTCAAACTTGTGATCCTCCTGCCTCAGCCTCCTGAGTCACTGGGATTACAGGCACGTGCCGCTGTGACCAGCAATTATCCCCACTTTAAAGATGAAGCAATGGAGATATAAGGAGCTCTCTCATTCTTTGTTCAATATATAAAATATCCATTTCAAGGTTAAAAAATAGCTAAAATGGCAACTTCCCAAGTTCGTGGTATGGGTGTAACATGACTCTCCAGCCATTCATCTATTGATTAGCATTCCCCCCTCTTTTGTACTATTACAAATAATACCATAATCAGCATCATTGAAAATACATGGTTTAAAAAATACTTGTACATGTATTCCTCTAACTTAGATATACAAAAAAAAAAAAATGGAATCAAGGGTTGAAGAGTACACATATTTAAAATTTTACAGATACTTCCAAATTGCCCTGCAAAAAGACCTTTCAGATCTATGATGAGTCAACAGTGAGAGAGTCCCCTTCCTGTTGCCTGGACACGCAATGCAAGCTCCTTCAAGGCGGAGCCCCATCGGGTAACACCCACGGCCACAGAGTATGAACAGTCCTGTCAGTCACACTGTGTCACCTTTGACGCCTGGCCCACCTCTGGCTCACCGCTGCCTTCCCATGTCCTGGCTCAGCCCCCAGCACATGGTGGATGCTTGGGAAGCTTCTGCCTTTAGCTGAATGACTTCCTAGTTGGTGTTTTAGTTAGGTGTTCCTGGGTAAATAACTGTGTGGACTCGGGTTTCATTTACGCTCCTGCGCCATTGCCAGAACTACTGCGTGCCCTCAGCCCGGGACGCCCGGGCTCTGTGGGTGCTGGGGGCTCCATCAACATGAAGGCATTCCAGCCTGTCCTGCCCACCGTTATCAATGGGGGCAACAGATTCCATACGTCCACTCGCCCTCCATGGTCTTGCAAAGGACACAGTCTTGGGCACTGTTATGGTTTGGATGTGAGGTGTCCCCCAAAAGCTCACTGTGAGACCATGCAAGGAGGCTCAGGAGAAGTGATTGGGTTGTGGGAGTCTTGACCCAACCAGTGAAGTTAGTCCTCTGATAGGGACTGACTGAGTTAATTTGATTAACTTGTTCGGGCATCCCCTGAAATGGTGGGGTGTGGCTGGAGATGGGAAATTGGGGGCATGGCTTTGCAACATAATTTATATCTGGCAAGTGGAGTCTCTCTCTCTCTCTCTCTGCTTCCTGATCATCAGGTGAGCTGCTTCCCTCTGCCACACTCTTCTGCCACGATGTTCTGCCTCACCTGGAGCCCCAGGGAATGCAGCCGGCCTTCTATGAACTGAGACCTCTGAAACTGTGCACCCTCAAAACAAACTCTTCCTCATCTACAATTGCTCTGGTTGGGTCTTTAAGTCGCAGTGAGAAACTGATGTGACTCCATTTCAGCCTGTCTTGCCCACCCTTATCAAGGGTGGCAACAGATTCCAGCCTCTACCTCAGAGCAAAGCCTGTCCAAGGAAGGGGCGTGACCCTTGTCCTTGGAAAAACCCACAGAGCACTCCTAGGCACATACCCACCCTGCTGAGTTGTTTGTCTACAAATAACAGGAGAGATCTGCAGCGCCAGGTGTCCCTGACTCAGTCGGGCTAGGTGTGGACCCATAGCAACCCCCTA